ATAAACTAGCTCAGGTATCTATGTTGACGTATCCGAATTCCCCTTCCCCACTTGCTTTGGTGCTGGATGCTTCCGACAAAACAACAGAGCCTAAACAACGTCCAATTCGATAGAGTGCTTACAGTGTATAGGCTCGTTCGTCTTTCCAGTCCTTATCTCCATCTCGTGTTCGTCTGGTGCGAAGCACCTATTAGTAGTTTAACATTCTCTTATTCTGTTAGTAAAAAATTTATATCCTTGAACTGAGACAAGGGCGTCATCTTATATGTCGTTGGTACAGGTCTGTACACTGACGGAAGTCTTCCAACAGCCAATACATTCTGGATCTTAGTGGACGGTGGAAAGTCTAACAAATACAGTTCTTTATCGACCTCCTCTCATGCTAACGACGAGTTGTTGCAAAGTCTTCAAATATATCACTTTCGGTTCTCCATCAAGACCACTCTCTCATTGCCCAGATCATCTACAGTAATGGAAGCATCTGCTCCAGTACCTGAAACGGCGCAAATATGGATGACCTTCTCACCATGTCTTAGTAGTACAGAAATTTTAGCTAGCGCAACTCCTTTTGGGGGAATTTTTGTGCCAATAACGCTCTTCTGCTTCTCTACAATGATAAGCATTGACATGAGCGTCCTCAATAGCGTTTCTCCGTTCCCACGCCGCTTTATTTGAGGCAAAGTGTGCTGTCGCTAAACCAACCCTTCCACTGAGCATTCTCTTGGTGGTCGACAGTCCTTTGCTACATGGTCCGTCATGTGATGGAAAATTGTCATCGCCAGTATTCGTATATGATATCCTTGCTGACTTTTAATCCGTGCTAATTTTCCCCTTTACAACATCAACATCTCTATCGTAACTATTACTACCACGGTTAACAAATAGGCTCTATCTAGTGTCAACTATATCAGCTTGTTCCTTTACAAACACGGTAAGGTCGACAAACAGATGCTCTGTAACTCCTTTAATAATCTTGTAAGGTATCTCCAGCCACTCTTGTTGAACGTGCGTTGGTAAATTCAGAGCCATAGTCTCAATAGTTCTGTAGGAGTTAAAATCAGAAACGTGATTCATTTGTTTGAAAGAGGGACTGCAAGCTTGCAATGCCATGTGAATTTTTAATAACTGAAACTGGACTGTCAATAACACGTTTATAAAATTTGAAAAAGCCCAAAGTGGAGTTGTCTTCACTAGTTTCTGAAGACGATCGTGATACATTACTCAGTAATTTGATACCCGAGTGTGCTAAGTGACGTGAAGGTATGAGAATTCAGCCCACCAAACGACGTGTATAGGATGATCCAGTCTTTCTAAAACGACGAGCAATAACTTGTCGTCTTCGAAAAGCAGCAGATAAGACATTGGATGACTTGTGTGAGAAACATATGACTGAAATGGTTCAGTCTTCAGCATAAAGTGCTCCTCTTTTTGCGCCCCTTAAAGTCTGTTGACAAGATCTCCAGAATATTGGTGATTATAAAAACTAAGCAGACAGGCGTCAAAAGAACAGATACCAAGGTATAGTCTATAGTTTAAAATCTATCCTCAGTCTATTTAATCAATGTGCCCCACGAACATCAACCTAAGTGAGTAACCTATTAAAATAAAACTTGTAGTATTTGTAACAAATTCATCTTGCCCGTAAACTGGCATACTCCATGTTATCTAAGAATATATGTTATTATTACTTGTTCCAACACTGAAAGAAGCTCCTCGCACCATCATAGTCATCAATCGGGAAATGTACTTGGAAATAACTTATGCTTTGCTGATGACGACACGAGCAGAACTCACTGTCTGTCATATTGTAGAGATTTATTTGGTTGAAAACGTAGTTTATCGTGTCACCCATAGTCACAAAAACCTCCCTGTAGCTAAATAAACTATTTTGAACTTAACAAACCAACTGGAACACTAGTTGGAATACTTCCGCTGTGAGGTTATACGTCTGTTTATTCATTCAGCCTGCCGATTTAGATGCGAAAGAAAATCAATACATAGGGACAACATACCGGCGTAAACGTTAGCTGACTCTCCAAGTCAAACCATGGATAGTGCCAATATCAGCATTGCTACAACATTGATCGTTTCTTCTATCTGGTTGCTAATTCTCCGGGTGACAAATAATTGCACTGTCCGTATGTCTTGTTGTTAACCATCGGTTATCGTTATACATTTTGATGTAATTGACTAGAATACATCCATACTAAATCATTATCCATTACCACATCCTCACTTCGTTTAAATCCTATGTAATCTTCACGTGGATTTTCATTTTGGGCGTGCTAAAAGTTGAACGAAACGTTTTGAAATTAGTACACGTGTTTCCCTAACGGCTGCTGCTGCCATTTTTATGTTTTTAAGTTTTAAATACCTGGGGCATTCTTGTTGTTCGGTTGATAATCGTCGGTGAACGACAACCCCACTTGGTTTTGTACCAGATCAACGACACCACAAGATCCTTGAGGCAGAGCACGCGATGGCTGAGAGAACATACATTCCACATTTAACACCGCAGAGGATGGAAGACACGTAAACGTTTAATCCATATGTTATGGCTCGTCCATTCAGGTTTATTTTTTTGCCGGTGAGTAAACCCCATTCAACCGGAAGAATAATCCAGTCTTTCAGCGAAAATGTCTTTGTTCAGACAGTGAAACAGAGTAGTTGGAGTGTGGGGTTGTCTTTTTCAAACACACAAATTTTGTTGACATTGAGCACAAAATTTTTGGAACTGTAATGCCCTTACAAAACATGGGAGTCAATGATTACTTTAGCCATCATATTTTGACATGAATAAGATATTTGTGAACAAATCTTAACCAAGCAGCCTAAGACGCCTCATTAGCTTCCTCCTAGAGTCAACTTCCAGAGTAATGTCGGTTCGATCAGCTTACCGAACAAGGACATGTCAGTTCGATTTATGCGACCTAGAGGAGTATTATTAATTCGTTTAATGTTTGACTCTCAATCAATGACGACAGACGCCCAGTCAATATTCGGGTATACTACATAGACATCATTTACTTTGCTGGCTGGCTCGTAGCGTTTACTATCCACCACAAATTATCGCACATGACTTCTTGAACTTGTCTTTATGTGACGACCACAGTTTGCAGGCAAGAAAATGAAAAAATAACGCTTGAGGAAGTTTCGCGAGAAGGCTAATGAACACTGCGTTGGTGAGATACGATCTTCCCATGCTCTATCCGGCTATCAGGTGTTTACTCACCTTCCTCCTGAGTCGCAATTAGGTCAACAATAACGAAAAATAATAATTAAAGTTAGTCGAGTCCAAGGACTTGCTCCGTTGTTTGTGTAAGATATTCAGATACGAAAGAAAACCTACAATTGTGATAAATGTTCGGTTCCACAAAAGAGTTTGGCTTCCAGAATGGATCGGTAATTTGAAAGTGAAGAGACGCGGCGTGGATGTCATGGACACGAAAATGCAATAAAATGGAAAGTCACTTTCTCAGGAAAAATATATGTGTAAACCTGCCAGAAATTGGTTGCATCACCGAAGTCAATCAAATATCTAAACTTGGGCCTTTATAACCAGGTTCATAAGCGCTGATTCACAGGAAGTGTCCGCCGGTCAAGAAAACTAGAACATAAGTTTAAGAAAAAACCATGAAGATATTAAGAGTCCTATAATCTGAGAGAAGCAGAGGCTCCGTGTCAAGTATTACACCATACGGTATCTCAGTAACATCCTGGAAGGCCGAATTTCTTTTATAGGAGGATCCTAACGAGAATAACATCCGTCTGTAAATGCTCCTCAGCTACCCAGATAAGACTTCCAATGAACAAACAACTTAATAATTCTGCCTATCAAAGACTGGACCCTCTAAGAGAAAACTTCATACATGCTTAGGGTCTCAGAATATTATCCCATACTAATCTCCTGGTAGTTGTTTGTCTTTATTCGTTTTGCACACTTAAACTAAAACTGGGAGGCATCGCTGATCCATTGCCACTAGACGCAGAAGCTTAGTGATGGTAGGCCAGGTCTATAGATCATTCACCCCAAATCTAGTAAGACATCAGATACTGATGGGTTATATCCATTAATACCACTATCTCTTGCAGACATTATTTCAGGAACACTTGCGATGTTGTTCAACATATCCCTCTAGCATACTCATTTCCCTAGAGATTAGAAAGATGCCATAGTCGCCCCGATATAAAAATATAGAAAGAGACCGGTCAAAAGTGGTGTAACCCAAGGCACCACCTTAGGCCCCCAATCTCTTCTTCTCTGCGCCGCTGACTTACCGCGACCGCTCAAGTCGTTGACGTGACTGCTTTCAGATGATGTTAACATATGGAGAACAATAAGTATTGTGGTTTATCATCTTGATTTCAAATCTGGCCCAAACGAACAAGTTAGATGGTCACTTTGTGTATCCCTACAGATTAATTCTGTGCAAACTGGGCATGGCGATAGTTGCCAGTATAAAACCAACTTAACATCGCTTTTTCGAGTGTAGGAACACAAAGACTTATCGGTAACAGTAAGTGACGACTCAAACACAGCTGCTTACTGCGATGCAGCAGCCTACGAAGGTTTTCGAGCGTTATGGTTACTTCACTGTGGATTCAAATACGTTGACACGGAGATGTTTCGGATTTTATATTCCTCCTGTATAAGACCACATATAGAGCACTGTGTCCAAGCAGCCAGTCCATATGTTACTAGGAATGCCAACACACTCGAGCGTGTTCAGCATGTGTGACACAAAATTAGTGAAGCGCCTTTCCAACATCCCTTAGAGTGAGCAGTTAAATTACCTCAATCTTTTCCCCTCATATTGTCGTAGAACTTGAGGTTGTATTATAGTGGTATTCAGTATCTCTAATAACAAATTGGGTGTTAATGACTAATCTTTCCGCTCCCTCTAGATGGTCATTTCCGAGACATTGAGAGAAGATTCAAAAGCCGTAACCCCACAAACTCAGGGTGGGGTTTCGTTTTTCTACAGTGATTAATCCAGGTCCGCCAACATACTATTGTTATCATTGAAGACTGAAGATTCCATCAACAACCATCCGAAATTCATTTGTAGGTGGTCTAAAAGCGTAACTAGATCTTCACAAAAATCCTTATTGTATGAGTTAAAACTTGTCAAAAGACTCACTGTCTGTACCAATAAAGGCTAAGATTAACGCGGAAGCTGCTCTGTACTCGCACGTCCAATCGGTATTGAATATGGGATTTAAACTTTGAGCTTCGAGAAGCGAACTAAATAAAGCTGGCGAAACACTTAACGGAAACTCATGGCTTACCCATCTGACAGTCAGCTTCTGACTAAAATAGAGAGTAAGATCCTGGGAGTTATTTCTAGATAATCGGACTAAGAAATTCTACAGGATGCCGATCTTTCCCAAGTTACGTCGAAAAAAGTTAGGTCGGCATTAGAGGCTCATTTCAACATTGATTTGTCCGCCGAAAAATCCAAGCTGGAGACTATGATAATGTCCACATTGGAGAAATTACAGTCTTCGAAGTCACAGAACAGGAATAACAGTAAACGCAGCAGTAGTCCTGTGCGTCTTGGTGCTTAAATAATGTTTGATATTTATATGTAGGAGGTAGATGAATTTACAGAAACTGACGCGAGCTCAGATAGTGAGCCTGAAAAGCCAGTAAAAAAGAAGAAAAAGAAAACTTCAGATGACGAAGATTATGCCCGGAGTTTGCATGCTGAAGCTAATGGTATGAGGCGAAGAAGCAGTTCCAGTAAGCCAAATTATTTCCTTTGGATTAATATTTAGGCACCAAACCAAGATCTCAAAAGCAACCCGGCAGCGGGAAAACAGGTTTTACACGTCCCTTAACATTATCTGACGAGATGGCTGAGTACATTGGTAAGAAAGAACTGTCCCGTTCTGATTTAGTCAAAAAATTCTGGGAAATCGCTAGAGAACAAGATTTATTCGTAAGTAGTTAGTTTCCCAATTATATAGTTTGTTAGGACCCAAACAATAGGCAGTTTGTCGTGTGTAATGAAGATTGGCAAAGATTGTTCAACCTTAAACGTTTTCGTATGTTCGGAGTTGCAAAGCATTTAAAACGACATATAATTGGGTAACTTTTTATAAAACTAATTTCATCATAAGTATATTTGCCATGTACCTCAGACAATGTAAATTTATGCATAACCTGATGTTTTTCGTCAGGCCTATTTCAAATAAATTCCTGCTGAAAGATATATATTTCGAAATTTATTTCAATAGCATATTTAATATATTGTGAGGATCTGTGCATTTTCCAAAACTTATTTTATCCTATACATATTATTTCACAATAAAACGGCGTGCACCATTAACATCACTATTGATTTTATCTTCATTCATTTGTTCTCAAACGTGAATTAGGGGTGAGAAAATCACTAACTTCCTAACATCACTGTCCTATAGCATGATTGTCACGTAGATGACTACCCAAATATGATCAGGAAATTTGTCACTTGCATAGTGATGTAACTGAATTCACGATTATATGTAAAAAGAATCAATGTTTGCTTTAAAAAGAGCGAGGTAACATCTTTACATGTTTCTTAAATATAAGAAACCGATTTTGACTCAGTTAATTACAGTCTTATAAAAATACCTACCTGAAATCATAATCCATTAAGTTGTTTTTATCGAGTCGTTAATGAAATTGAGATCTGTTTTACTCTACCTAAAATGCTTCACGTTTGCTATCCAAATAATTGTATCCTTGATAATTCGTCAAAAGTAACTATTCAAATGAGTTACCTGCATTTGGTAATTGACTATCAAAAGCTCACCACAGTAATAAAATCTGATAACTGCACACATATGAAGCTAGGTGGTTTATGTTTGTCTCGTGATAATTGTACTATCGGTCACTTTCCTATAGTTTAGTGGATATGATTTTACAGCCAAATAATAGAGTGATGGTGCGTAACTACATCCAGTAACACTTGGATGAAATTGTTATGTTCCTGTAGTCTGTTCAATCATCGTTCGAAGTTTGAAGTCCACAAAGCGAATAAAAATTAACTTACGGTCTCCTGGATACCGATGCGTTTGATGGGCCTATAAATCCTGAGCACCGAACTGCGATCGTATGGAACGTTCTAGTCAAGCTTTTCAACTACTCAACTAGACCATATATCTAGATTAGGCTTCCGTGTACTGTGAATAGAGAAATAATGGATTTGAATATCAGACAAGCCTTACGTTACGATTTGTGATAGACAAATTTTGAGTTATTTGTGTTACAATTTTCTTAAGAATTAGTCTCATATATTTGGGTTACCAGTGATTCATTAGTCTCATATTTTATGGTTGCAACCTGGTTCTTTGCCATTTTGTCGGGAATAATATTTTGAAATTCCTGTGACTCATTTAAATAATAGACTGCGTAGAGAAGAATGTTGATTCGATAAGCAGTTTGCGGTTAGTATAGTTTTATTTATTTATTTGAACACATAAATATTGGAACAAGAGAGCGCCAATATATATGTGCCACACAAAACAATGAGAATTCGAAGAGAAATAGAAAAAAAACTAAGGAGCGCAAAAGAAAAAGAGAACAATAACGAAGAGATTGGTATAAGGTAGTGTGGTAGTAATGAGGGAACGGAAAGGTACAATCAGAAGAAATCTTTCAGGTAAGGAGACACAACCACTTTTTATGAAGAAAGTAAAAGAAGGTTACAGCAGGATCGCCACTGGCTTCTATTCTGAGCCATATCTGATAACGTCTCTAGCCACTGTGTAGCACCATCTCTCGGACCCCAACCAGGGAGTCGTGAAGGACCAACAGAAGCCAGTCCTTTGCAGCTTTCTTTCATGCCACGACACCATGTCATGCACTGACCACCTCTCCGCTTCTTCCAACCAGTCCCAGAGTCGGCAAATAATGCACGACGTGGAATTCTCTGGGACGACATTCGGAGAACATGTCCAAGCCACCGAAGTCGGTGTTTCAAGATGGTGACACCAATTGATTATCATCTCTGTGCCCGAACACACGATGCCGAACCTCTGCATTACTGACATGGTGTTGCCACTGAATGTCAGCAATCCTTCGGAGACAGCGATGATCGAACACAGAGAGTCGTCTAACGTCCTCAACTCGGAGAGGCCAGGTTTCACAAGCATAGAGCAAAACTGCTCTCACCGACGCGTTGTAGATCCGACCTTTTACAGCCAGACTAACATCACGAAGGCGCCAAAGGTGGCCCAGATTGGCATAAGCCGCTCTGGCTTTCACTATACGTGCATTGATCTCATCACTCACACCCCACCAGCACTTATGCAGCTACCCAGATACACGAACTTCTCAGCTACGTCTATCTGCTCACCATCCAGGGTGAGTACAGGATTAGAATCCTGCCAGTCTTGTAGAAGTACTTTGCACTTCGAAGGTGCAAAGCACATACCATACCTACGGACACTGATTGCCAACTGATTAAGTGCGGATTGCATGCCTTCAGCATTATCGCACAGTAAGACAATATCGTCCGCATACTCAAGGTCGAGAAGTCTTTCTCCAGGCAACAAATCCACACTGCCATTACTTACATCCAACAAAGCTGTTTCCAGAATGTCATCGATGGCAAAGTTGAAGAGGAATGGTGAGATTGGGCAACCCTGCCTAACCCCACTGCTCGAATGGAACAATGGAGAAAGGTGGTTGTATGCCCTCACTCTGCCTGAGGTGTTTGTATATAAGGCCTTTAGGATGTTAATAAACTTCTCAGGCACACCCTTCTTCAATAGACAATCCCAGAGAACAGTCCTGTCCAACGAATCGAAGGCAGCCCTGATGTCAAGAAACACTACGATTGTTGGCCTTTGATAAGTATGGCGGTGTTCTAACATTTGGCGGAGGGTGAAGATATGATCAATACATCCTCGACCAGAACGAAACCCAGCCTGCTCCTCGCGAGTCAATCTTTCTCGGGTTTTGAACAACCTACGAAGAATGACGGAAGCCAATAGCTTGGACGCAATCGGATATAGACTTATCCCCCGATAGTTGTTACAGGAACGACGTGAACCCTTTTTAAAGATAGGGACAACTATCGACTCATTCCATGACGTTGGTACACTCTCTAGTTCCCAAACCTTTGTAAACAACGTCGTCAATTCCTTAGTCAAAAAGTCACCACCGTCTTTAAAAAGAGCCGGAGGTAAGTCATCTGGGCCAGGTGATTTGTAACGCTTCGAGAGTTGGAGTCCCTTGCGAACTTCCGGCCATGGAGGGCAGGACAGTCTGACCGATGTTGCCGGAGCAGCAGGCCAGTTGAACTGCCCTTCGAAGAATTCTGCCCATCGTCCAAGACGTCGATGGATGTTAGTGATTGGCATCCCATCATCCTCGCAGATTGTTTCACTCACACCAGACTTCTTGCTGCCAGTGGCTCGGATGAGTTGGAAGAGCTTCCGGTAGTTACCAGATGCAGCTGCTGCTTCCAACTCATTAGCACGCTCCGACCACCAGGCTTCTCGGTCTTTACGCAAGCCTTGCCCGATTTGATTACGTAACAGCCTTCGTTTGTGGTCAAACTCACAGTCACCCGGAGTAGACTGACGGGCTTCAATGAGTTGTAAGGGACCAGAAGAAACCCAGTGCTTATAAGCGGGACGTTTCGCGAAGCCTCAAGTGGCTTTACTCTCCATTTTGATGGTGTCATGAAGTTGCAACCAACTTGCTGAAATCAATCCTTTGATAGCGGTCACTTCGTTGGCCACTGAAAAGTAAGGTAGGATTGGCGCAGACCAGGGCATGATCAGAGTTCAGATAGGCGCTCTAAAAGGAGCGACAGTCTTTTACACAACCACGCCAGCGGTAGCTGATCGCGATGTGATCAATCTGAGTCCAGGCTTGAGATGCAGAGAGAGGACGCCAGGTGGCACATTGGCGATGACTGTGCCGGAGGTTAGTGCTAGCCAGAAACAGGTTGTGATCTGTGCACAGTTGCAGTAGACGGTCCCCGTTATTTGTCCTGCGATCAACAAGTCCCCTTCGGCCACCTAAACGATTCTCTTCTGTACCTAGACGCCCGACCTGAGCATTCAAGTCTCCGGCTAGTACTACAATATCTGTCGAACGCAATTTCTGTAGAAAAACAGTTAACTGGTGGTAGAATTCATCCTTGATTGCATCCTGGCTGCAATCTGTCGGGGCATAGGCGGAGATGACGAAAAGACATCGTTTCTCACGTCGATTTCTTCTCACTTTGATGGAACTTTCTAATATAACAGCACATAGCTGACTATTAATGGGGATCCAATCGATTAGTGCTGCCTCAGCTCTAGCGCTTAGTGCGACACCAACGCCAGCAAGACCAAACGAAGATGCCTCAGGGTCCACGGATAAACGCACATAAAACAAGCTTTTTGAAGCGACAGATGGAGAGCGAATTTGTAGTACTTCACCAGAGTCTTGAATACGGGTCTCGGATAGACAACAGACGTCGATATTAAGACTTTCCGAATACATAGCCAGCCCTATCTGTTGTCCGACCTGCATAAGTGTGCGAGCGTTGAAGGCAGTCAGTTTGAATGGTGCACCTGGTTTCAGAAAAACTGCTTCAGTATTCGTATTTGGTGGTAGCATTCAATTTTCAACCAGGCAGTGACTCGTGAACGTCTAGATAGAACCGAGTTTCCATCATAAGCGAGCTGCTGTATAAGTCGAAAAATGAGGTTACACAATGTGGGAATAAAAGAGAGTGAGTTAATGACGTGGTAAATAATAATAATGTGAATTGTTTGACTGTTAATCGAAGCGTGAATAGGATTTTCAGTAAATATCGTCTTTTTCAAAACGAAGATGGTTAGTATAGTGAACAGCGTCAGAGCCCTTACTCAATATTTTTAATGGTTGTTATTTAATTGTAGGATAACGGAATAGAATCCATCCCCATGCGCATTATTCTGAACAATTAATTACATTTATCTGCTACCACATAATAGGTTTAATCCAGAATCTAGTCATTTGAAAGTGTGCAGTCTTTCTAGTGATAAGTATTTAGTAGTCCTAAATGACATTAAACCTCGCTCCAAACTACACATTGGAGCCTTCAACGTACGCACACTATGTCAAATCGGTCAACAGGCCTCCTTAGCTAAAACTCTGGAATCTCGTTTCATTGATGTATGCTGCGTCTCTAAAAAACGGATACAGGATCCTAGTGTGGTCATTCACTTGACCCACTCGGCAAAACGGAGAGCCAACGAGATACACCCTACGTGTATTTGGACCCGATGGCCAGTTCTCGTGGACTGCCGGGTGTAGGCATAGCACTAAACATGAGGGCGGAACAAGCACTGCTAGAGTGGATCC